AGAAAAGGAAAAATAGAAAAAGAAAAAAGACAAAGAAAAGGAAAAAGAAAAGGAAAAATAGAAAAAGAAAAAAGACAAAGAAAAGGAAAAAGAGTAAAAGACAAAAGGACAAAGAAAAAGAAAAAGAACAAAGAAAAGGAAAAAGACAAAAAGGACAAAGAAAAGGAAAAAGAGAAAAAGAAAAAGGACAAAGAAAAGGAAAAAGAGAAAATAAAAAAGGAAAAAGAAAAATAGAAAAAGAAAAAAGACAAAGAAAAGGAAAAAGAGTAAAAGAAAAAAGGACAAAGAAAAAGAAAAAGAACAAAGAAAAGGAAAAAGACAAAAAGAAAAAGAAAAGGAAAAAGAGAAAAAGAAAAAGGACAAAGAAAAGGAAAAAGAGAAAATAAAAAAGGACAAAGAAAAGGAAAAAGAAAAGGAAAAATAGAAAAAGAAAAAAGACAAAGAAAAGGAAAAAGAGTAAAAGAAAAAAGGACAAAGAAAAAGAAAAAGAACAAAGAAAAGGAAAAAGACAAAAAAAAAAGAAAAGGAAAAAAAGAAAAGAAAAAGGACAAAAAAAGGAAAAGAGAAAGAAAAAAGGACAAAGAAAAAGGAAAAGAAAAGGAAAAATAGAAAAAGAAAAAGACAAAGAAAAGGAAAAAGAAAAAAGAAAAAGGACAAAGAAAAAAAAAAGAACAAAGAAAAGGAAAAGACAAAAAAAAAAAGAAAAGGAAAAAGAGAAAAAGAAAAAGGACAAAGAAAAGGAAAAAGAGAAAATAAAAAAGGACAAAGAAAAGGAAAAAGAAAAGGAAAAAGAAAAGGATATACAGTTGTATATGTTAAAAAGTAGATGAAAATAGTTTGAAATACTTAACTTTCTTGGACTGTAGAAGAAAATTCTTTGAATTGCTGCATATTTGGTTAAAAGCTGATAATATAATTGGCAAGTAATTTGACATGAGTGAAAACTTCTATCTATCTATATTTCTGAGATGAGGTATTATGTACATTATTTGCATTATTCGGTCTAGTGTCCCCATCTTTGTTGCCATATTTATTACAATGTTTTGGCTGTTGTACACAAGGACACATGGCACAGTGGATAAAGTCATTAATTAGATCCAGTGACAGGACCCAAAGAGTTCAATACCCGGTTAAGGCAGTGGAGAACTTTCAGAGGGAAATTAACAGGAGATAACTGATAACTGACATCCATTAAACATGGCACGTGGAACTAGAACAGTCTACCCTAGTGAGCGAAATAAAGGGTTCAGTTCGACATTCCAACCACCTGAAGAAGGCCGGAGTGTACAACGGCTGAAATGTTGTAATAAATATGGCGACAAAGATAAGGTCAATAGTCCGAATAATGTAAATAATGAAAACTTCTATGCTAGACATGGTGAACAGAAATGGAACGTTTCACATGACTTCAGACACTCTTCTCTTATTAATTTAATTTTCCTCCTCATTTTATATCAAAAGGAATTTCACATAGTCTTGCTGTAATGGAGTGGTTTCACAGTGGAGGCTTGTATTTGTACTAAGTCGGTCCTAAAATAGGTTCGACGTACAAAACGTTAGGAACTTGATATAATAGGTATGATGCAGAGAAATCTAGTTGTGGTCGCTGATACTTTAGTATCCAACTAACAGTCATCCGGCATCGACTGACTCGTTACTCTTACTACTCCTACTTATTATAGGTGGGAGAGTCTATTAACTATAGAATAGGTGTGTTCCAATATAACACTTGCCACTTTCTTTTCTTTCTTCATTTTGGCTCAACAGCTAATTTCTGTGAAGACATAGTTTTCATTGGTCAAAAAGCAATTTCACATAGGCTCACAAATCTATTTCTGTCTTCTTCTCAGCTTGCTGGTCAATCTTTGTGAAGGCAATGTTTTCATTGGTCCAAGAAAATTTCCCATAGGCTTGCAAATTCCTTTCCATCTTTTTCCTCAGTCTTCTGAATTTGAACGAAGTGGGCAAAGGGTTGTTTTTTTAGTTTTTTTTTAAAGGCAATTCACCCCAAGCAAGGTGGGAGTGCCACTAGTACACAAGGGATTGCAGAGGATTGAGAACAAGTGTAAAGAGGCGTGTTTGAGGAAAGGATACAGAAAAGGACGGGGAACAAGCTTAGGGTGTCAGATGTCGATTGACATTACACTTTAATATTTGAAGATTATAGTCATTGGGGAAGCAAGTAAGGGGAAGGGAGTTCCACAGATGGGAAGTGCGGGAGAAGAAGCTGTTTGAGAAGAAGAGACAGTTACATTTAACCATTTTGGCAGTGAAAGTGTGGGACCGAGATGCCAGCTTGTTTAAATTCATGTACTTCAGGAACTAGTGAAAGTAGCTTGTTGGAACAATTGCCGTGAAAATATTTGTAGAAGAGACAGAGGGAGGTCACAGTATGTCTGTGGGATAGCGAATATAGACTAGATGCCAGGTCAGGACCTATCATCTTGCATATTCATCTCTGGATTTTGTCAAGGACCTCAAGACATACAGAGGAAGCACCAGACATTATATGACAGCAATATTCCATGCAAGGACGGATGGTTGATTTATAGATTTGAAGGATGGACTCAGACGAGAAAAACTTTCTGGCACGACACAGAGAGCCAACTTTCCTTGCAGTAGATGAAGCTATTGATTCAATGTATTTATTCCACACATGTCAGTGGACAGCGTATTATTTTGTAACCACTACAAACCCATTGTATATTAGGGTACCAAATATGCACACAGTAGCAAGGGTGTATGTAGAGGCAAGAAAGCTTGATAGAGCCCACCCCACTCTTTAGGCTCATTTTGAAATCTTCATTTTTGGTCTGATCTGAATTTCATAAAGATAGAAAAAAAGCAGGTACTTTTTGGAGTTGCACAAGGAATCGACCATTTTTTCAAACTCTTAAGTGATGGATTGTATATATGAGTTCCACTTGAGGTTTGGAGTGAACTCGAGTCCCAATAGATGTTTTTCTTTTTTTTTAAACTAATGTTCACCAAATACAAGGCCCAAGAGCCACTCAATTTAGAGGGTTACTGTGTGAACCTATACTAGCATAGGAAGTGTTAGGAAGCAGACTTATGAAGGAACCAAAAACCCAATCCTAAACAAAAACAAAGGATAAATTTCTTCTGTTGTTCAAAAGACCAGGGAGGAGTGTGAACCGGACGACAGGCGAACTTATTTACTCCTATTGGAGGAGGAGAGAAAAAATAAATAAAATGAAATAGTGAGTAAAATTTCAGAAATCAGCTGTTTACATTGGGAGAACAGAGTTGAAGCAAACTTTAGAAGTAAACGGAAACCTAATCTTAGACAGGAAACAAGGAATAAACCTCTACTCCTGTTCAAAAGATTGAGGAGGAGTATGAACCAGACAATAGGCGAACATATCTATTCCTACTCATTGAGAATACCACTGTTTATAATGGCAAGAGAAATTCAGGGTCTGCTCTGTGGTGATGAAATGTTACTAACTTGGTTTGGGATGTATTGAATGTTATAAGCCAGTCCTCTCTGACCATTGAGCTGTTAGAGCTTGATCAGGGAAGAGATCAGCTGCCAGGCTCTGGTTATGTAAATTTTCAGAGGTGCATCCATAAACTATAGTATTATCTGCATTGATATTTATTAACGATCAGAGAATGTTCTTAAGCAGATCATTAATATAAAATTGAAAGGAGAAAGAACCTAGGAGAAAACATTGGGGGGTGACACCTTCATTGATCCTATAGGCTTCAGAAAACTGGCCATTAACAACAATCTTTCTTTTGTTATTTTTTTACAGTTTATCAACCCTTTGTGGATTATTTAAAGCTGAAGCATTTTTTTTGATTTTAAGAATAATTCTTTTTTTTTCTTCATGTCTCGCACTTCCTGTCTATGGAACTCTCTTCCTCTTACTTGCTTTCCTGATAGCTATAATCTCTAACTATTCAGATGTAATGTCAATCGACATCTCCAGATGCCTTGATCTATTCCCCATCCTTCTCTTCATCCTTTACTCTCTCATGACTCTTTACTCTTGCTCACATTTTCTGTAACCCTTTGCGTGCTTGTGGCACTCCTGCATTGCTTGGGGTGAAATGTTAAAAAAAAAAGAAATGAATATTGCATTAATAATGTTTTAGAATAACAATTATTTTCCAGATACAAGATCTACTATTTAACCCATAGTTGGAGGGAGGATACCAGATATGAAGGAATTTATAATTGTGAATAATATTCCAGAGATACCATGCTGGAAAGTTTGTGTAGTACCCCCACTGCTATGTCAATGATCTTTGAGATATCTAAGGCTATCACTGTCATGAAATTATAATTGAGTTCCTTATTGATTCTGCGTATAATGGCAGTTAGGACATCAGTAGTGGACCTAGATGAGTGAAATTCATACTGTTTGTGAAGTTGTTCCTGTTGAGGTGATCAACAGCCTTGTTGTTGATCATTTGGCTTAGAGTGCCAACGGCACTTAGGAGACTGAGTGATATTGTGACAGGGACTAGCACTCATCAACATACAGACTGCAAACATTTTCTATAGATATGGCGAATTATTTCCCCTTTAACTAGTGGTTAAACAACTTTCCCAAGTTGGGAGATAACTCTGAGCTAAGATTCTTAAGAATAACTTATTCTTCTATGTATTGTGTCACTTTTTTTATTCAAGTATAAAATGGAGTGATGTGCATCTTTTTCACTCAAGTCTAAAGCAGTCCTTTTTAATCTTAAACTGGACATATGTCGAGCTTTTTGAGTACAGGTTGCATATCATTACCTTTCAGTGCAAACTGAAAATATGTCTACTTTTTGAACTTAAATGTTAGCCAGACTTTTGTTTACTTTTTTTTGGCTTGGGTAAACTTGATTTATATTTACTTTTTGACATATTTCAATTAAATTATTAAACATTCTTGGTTGGTAGGTCAACTATGAATGAGAATTTGCCGTTAGGGAAGTTATAAGAGGGAGTGAATATGAAAAGGAGTCAGAGACATGTAGGTATATGATTAAGAACGTGTTTGTGTGGGAAAATGGCAGGTAATAATGTCAGGAAAGAAAAAAAATGAAAACAAAAAAGACACAGAAAAGGACAAAAAAAAACAATGGACAAGAAAAAAGGACAAAGAAAAGGAAAAAGAGAAAAAGAAAAAAGGACAAAGGACAAAGAAAAAAAAAAAGAGAAAAAGGAAAAAAAGAAAAAGAAAAAAGGACAAAGAAAAGGAAAAAGAGAAAAGGAAAAAGAGAAAAAGAAAAGGAAAAAGGACAAAGAAAAGGAAAAAGAGAAAAAAGGACAAAGAAAAGGAAAAAGAGAAAAAGAAAAGGAGAAAGAAAAAAGGACAAAGAAAAGGAAAAAGGACAAAGAAAAGGAAAAAGAGAAAAAGAAAAAAGGACAAAGAAAAGGAAAAAGAGAAAAAGAAAAGGAAAAAGAAAAAAGGACAAAGAAAAGGAAAAAGGACAAAGAAAAGGAAAAAGAGAAAAAGAAAAGGAAAAAGAAAAAAGGACAAAGAAAAGGAAAAAGGACAAAGAAAAGGAAAAAGAGAAAAAGAAAAAGGACAAAGAAATGGAAAAAGAGAAAAAGAAAAAAGGACAAAGAAAAGGAAAAAGAGAAAAAGAAAAAAGGACAAAGAAAAGGAAAAAGAGAAAAAGAAAAAGGACAAAGAAAAGGAAAAAGGACAAAGGAAAAAGAGAAAAAGAAAAAGGACAAAGAAAAGGAAAAAGAGAAAAGGACAAAGAAAAGGAAAAAGAGAAAAAGAAAAAAGGACAAAGAAAAGGAAAAACAAAAAATGAAAAAGGACAAAGAAAAGGAAAAACAGAAAAAAAAGAAAAATTAACAGGTAGAAAGGTAAAACTACAAAGAAAAATTGAGAAAAAATGAAAAATGAAAAATGAAAATTAAAAGAATAAAAAAAATGTATAAAGAAAAAAGGACACAAAAGAAAGAGAAGAGAAAAAGGAAAAACAAAGAAAAAGAAAAATCTTAAGTTAAAAGACAAAAAAGACAAAGAAAAATGAAAAAGAAAGAAAAAGAAAAGGCAAGGAAAAAGGAAAGTTTTAAATAAAAAAAGATAAAGAGGAAAAAAAAAAGGACAAACAAAAAATATGATCAGTCAAGCAAAAGTTATTAATAAACTTATTAAAAGTCAAAAATACAAAGAGAAACTGTGGAAGATATATGCAAATAAATATATTAACATAATCAATTCCCTCCCCTATGTGAAAATATACACACATAAAAATATATATCATAATAACTGTGAGTAAATAAATGATAAGACAAAAAACTGTAATAATGATTTTCATTTCGGAAAGGAATTTCTTCAACATTGGCAAGGCATCTAAAAAAAGTAACTATTTCGATAGTGAAAGAGTGGGACCGAGATGCCAACCTAGTAGTAAATTTAAATTCCTGCAGTTTGGGTACCTGTGAAAGTAGCTCGTCAGAGCAGTTACCACAAAAGTATTTGTAGAAAAGACAGAGGGAGGCGATAGATCGTCTGTGAGAGAGAAACTGTAGACAAGATGCCAGATCACATTGCATATCTGTCTCTGGATTTTGTCGAGAACTGTAAGATGAACAGCGAGGGATCCAGACCCTATATGGCAGCAGTATTCCATGCAAGGGTGAATGGTTGAATTATAGATATGAAGAATGGACTTTGGTGAGAAAAACTTTCTGGTACAACACAGAGAACCAACTTTCCTTGCAGTAGATGAAGCTATTGATTCAATGTATTTGTTCCATCTCATGTCAGCGAACAGTGTGAGACCAAGCAGTCGCAGAGAGGTGCTCTTGTGGAGTTGAGCATCAGATATTCTAATGGGATGCAGGGAGGGTTCTCTATGGTGGGTAAATGACAGCAGTTTTGTTTTTGAGGCATTAAAGTTAACCAGCCTTTTCCTGCCCCAGTCCACAACCGATTGGAAGTCTTTTTTGAGACCAACAGCCAGGTTAGTTTTGTTAGTGATACTAGATTTACTATTGAGGCAGGAGTAAATAGTAGTCTTGTCTGCATAGATGCCTACTTGGCAACTGATGACATCGGGAAGATTGTTAATGAAGATTAGAAACAGTGTAGGACCCAGGATAAACATTTTGATTTTAAAACTTTGTTATTGAGTTATTATTTTTTAAAAAAAAGCATGATTTTTATAAAATAGTAGTACTGACCAGGCTTGATGTTGCTTAAATTTGGTGATCTCACAGGAACCAGTGTTTCAACATGATGTGGCTGTAAACCTATTTTTTGGTCTGGAACTGGTGAAATAGCTTTTGTAAAATTCTTTCCACTTTTCTTGTTTTGGCAGGGCCCTAGTTAACTGTAGCCAAGTGGATTCTATGATTTGAGTATAGATTTCTACCATCTGTCAGAATTAATTAATTGGCCTCAGGAACATAGTTAAATAATAGCTGTGTCAATGGAAAAAGCATCCTTTTGAAACGTCATTTTTTGTGGGCACAAAGATCCATGTTTGCCAAATTTTTGGTGGGTGGGGAGATAATAATAGTAACATGATACAAGTCGTAATTAAGCCATAGCTGGCGGGGAGAGAAGGGGTAAATTCATACATAATCAGAATTTGATAAATAAAAAAAAAATTATGATGTGGCTATAAAGTGGGGGGGTCAATTCTATATTACAATCAGGATTGATGTTGCTTAACTTTGGTGATTATACTAGAACCAGTGTTTCAGTGTGATGTCGCTGTAAGCCTTTTTCTAATAATATTCAAATATTTTATAAATATAATTGAAAAAAAAAAAAATCACTAAATAAATATTATCAAAGCCATTTACATATAACTGAAGCAACCATCCATGTACATATTTATGTGTATTTGAACAAATACAAACACATCATAAGGGGGTGAGGAGAGATAGAGGAGAGAGAGAGACATCAAATGGGGGATAAACATACACATATTATTTTTTTAAAGATTATATCCATTTTGACTCATCTTAATTAATATTCCCAGGGTAGACCAACCGACATTCTCTTATCACCAAAGTTAAGCAAACACCAGTCTGGTTAGTACCTACATGGGTAACCACTTGGTTCTATCAGGTGTTGTATGCTTATTTATTTACACTTGTCTGAGCTTGAGAAACTCATGGCGACATCACATTGAGACAATGGTTCTCTTCAGATCATCAAAGTTAAGCAATGTCAATTGGTCAGTAACTAGATGGGTGACCACTTGGAAACATCAGATGTAAGTTTGGATGTGCAAGTGGAGTAATGGATGATGTCTTGGAAAGAGATATCAGAGAGCAGAGCTCAAATTCTAGATCACCAAAGTTAAGCAACCTCCAGACTAGTCAGTACCTAGATGGATGACCACTTGAGAATATCGGATGCTGTAAGCTCGGATGTGCAATGTGTGTGAAGGGGAGTAATGGATGATGTCTCAACGAGAAAGCAGTGTGCAAATTTCAGATGACCAAAATTAAGCAAAATCAAGCCTAGTCAGTACCAAGATGGGTGGCCTCTTTGGAATATCGGGTACTGTAAGCTTGGATGTGAGATGTGCAGGTGGAGTAATAGATGACACATTGGAAAGAGATGTCAGAGAGCAGAGCTCAAATTCCAGATCTCCAAAGTTAAGCAACCTCCAGATTAGTCAGTACCTAGATGTGTGGCCACTTGAAAATATCAGGTGCTGTAAGATTGGATGAGCAATGTGTCGAGGAGAGTAATGGATGATGCCTCAACAAGAAATCAGAAAGCAGAGTGCAAATTTCAGAACACAGAAGTTAAACAAAGTCGAGCCTAGTCAGTACCAAGATGGGTGACCATTTGGGCATATCAGATGCTGTGAGCTTAGATGTGCAATATTTACATGGTGTAATGGTTAATGGCTCAGAAAGAGAAATCAGAGAGCAGTGTTCAAATTCCAGTCACATTTGTTTTCATTCACTTATGTGCAGTTACCCTTGAGTGATCATGAATCAAAAAGAGACGTGATCACCTGAGCATATCACATTCGCCTCCTACCAACATGTGCAATAGGGTATTGGCCTATTCTGCCTCATGATCTGAAGAAAACCTACCGCTAACAAAGAAAAATAAGAAGAGTTTGAAATGATTATGACAACTTCAAAATGTCTTTAAATAAGTTGCATTTGTAATGTATTTTTACTGAACAATATCTCACTTTAGAGTAATGGTTAACAAGTTTGTCTTGGTTCATAATGGGTGCGCCACATTTTTAGCCTTGTGCCAGATTATGTTAAAGTTAAATGATCAAACACACTGTAGTCAGCCGCTTTACTTGAGTTGAGGCAAAAATTAACCAGATTTCAGTTTCACTCTGTAGTTTCCCCTTTGCACTTTATGGAGGACCAGGATCCATGTATGATAACTGGGTAGTCCCCAATAAGTGGGGAGGGGCAGCAAGATAGCCTGATAAAGCCCAACCCTTTCAACTGGGTAGTCCCCAATAAGTGGGGAGGGGCAGCAAGATAGCCTGATAAAGCCCAACCCTTTCAACTGGGTAGTCCCCAATAAGTGGGGAGGGGCAGCAAGATAGCCTGATAAAGCCCAACCCTTTCAACTGGGTAGTCCCCAATAAGTGGGGAGGGGCAGCAAGATAGCCTGATAAAGCCCAACCCTCTCCAATCTAGAATTCAAGTCTCACAACAATGTCTCTTAACCCCTGAGGGCCATGGGGGAATCACATGTAGTGCAGCCATAACAGCAATTGTGTGTCTTGGGCAAGATAGCCTGATGAAGCCCAACCCTTTCCAGGCAAGAATTCAAGTATCACAATCCTGTCCATAAACTCTGAGGGCCGTGGGGGCATCACATGTACTGCAGCCATAGCTGCAATGGTGTGTCATGGGCAAGCCTCTTCAGGATGGTTTGAATTCAGAGTTTTCCTTCTCCATAGACTGGTTGCTAACAAAGACTGGTTGCCCAGTCTGTCCTGCTATTCAACCCATAGCTGAGGAGGAAAGAGATGGATTCATACCTTTCCTAAAGGTACTGATGCATAAGTGAAAGTAACAAACTTGACTGGAATTCAAACTCAGTGCTCTGATTTCTCATTCTATTACATAACCCGCACATCCAGAGAAAATGTGCTCAGATGATAATATTGGTAATGGTAATATATATTAGCCATTAATTCAGCATTTATTGACTAAGCAGGTAGTGCTACATGAGTTACACTTTTCTACACTCCTTGGCCATCATGATGCAATCAAAGTGTAGTATCTGCTTTCAAAGAGCAGTGATTCAAGTCTGTAGAAAACATGCTACCTCATCGATGATAACTCCCCAGTTCACCATTACCATCTCTCGAGTTTGCTAAATTTTCTCATCAGTGTTGGAGGTTGACAGTTGTTCAGCTCCTTTTTTGTGTGTCACACTTGTCTGGCTACTTTTAAAGTTCTTGATGCACTCATACATACTTGCACACAATAGCGGTGTGAGGAGGCACGGTTGAGTAATGGATAGTGGCTTGGATTGAGGAATTGGAGAGCCGAGTTCAAATTCCAGTCAAATCCATTACATTCACTTACGTGCTAATACCCTTGGGAAAGGTGTGAATCCTCTACTTCTCCCTCCAGCTATGGGTAAATAGCAGGACAGATTTGGTTCTATAGCCTTGGATGGCAACTGGTCTAGAAGAAGGAAAACCCTGAATTCAAAACCTGCGGAGGGTCGTTTGGGGACCTTTGTGGCACGTAGTGCACCAGGTCTCTGTAATCGCCCTTCAAAAAAGTGTGGATGGTCCTGCACCTAAACCTTCACCACTACAATCAACTCTCATATGCTATACATGCGGGTTGGGGACCGCTTGTGAATTCCAAATTCCCATGAAACTCCAATATTGGAGCCGGCTCAACCCACCCCGGGTGAATGCCGTTACAGGTAAAGGTACAAGTACAATAGCGTGCCTTTACTGTATTGTGTTAAAAGCCTCCAATAAATTTCAGGCCACTGACACACCTTCTGAGCAGAGAAAATGAATCACTACTCTTTGTTCTTTCTTGGTGCATACTTCTAGTGGAGTGGCCATGTTTATACTGTAACAGCAGAATCTCCTCATCAGTGTTGGAGGTTGATGGGCGTTCTGCTCCTTTTTTGTGTGTCACACTTGTCCAGCCACTTTTAAAGTTCTCAATGCAATCATACACACTTCTATGCAGTAGCGTGCCTTTGCTGTATTGTGTTAAAAGCCTCCAATGAATTGACACACCTTCTGAGCAAAGAAAATGAATCACTGCTCTTTGTTCTTTCTTGGTGCATACTTCTAGTGGAGCGGCCATGTTTACACTGTAACCACAGCAAGAAAACTGGCATGATCAAGCTCAAACTTCGATCACGTGACCACAATAGTACCAACCATGAGCACACAAGCAGAAGGCAGTGCAACAAACCTAAAGATATGTTATGGTGAAAGTGCGGATAATTTTTTACTTATCTTCGTATAATCTATATTCTTTGATGGTGGGTGGAAAGAAGCTTCCTATTGAAAGTTACTTATAATCTTTGTTAATGTCGTCATGTAGAATTTCATTGCTCATTTCTGTTTTTATTTCAGAGTGATAAGTGTAGCCCAGAATGGCACAATGCCTGACAGTGCATGAGTACGCTCAGCTAGCACCTGTTACGAAGTGTGTCAGTCTGTCGAACAACTGTAAAGATGGTGGCACAGTGTTCATGGACATCGTGCTTCAGTAGATGTCAAAACCGTCAGAGATTGTTATTCGAAGCTGATAAGTATGGGATCTGTGCTAGATACCTGCAGAAGTGGTCATCCTTCAATAGATTGGGAGAAAATGTGCAAAAGGTAAAAATATAACAAAGCTGAGTTCGAATTCCAGTCGAATACATTACATTCACTTATGTGCTAATACCCTTGAGAAAGGTATGAATCGTCTTCTTCTTCTCCCCCCAGCTATGGGTAAATAGTAGGACAGATCGGGTTCTATAGCCTTGGATGGCAACTGGTCTACCACAGAAAGAAATGGGGTAAAATGATTAAGAAAAAAAAATCTGTCCTATAATAGTTATTACATTTGCCTACACATTTCATACACTAAATGTATCATCTATTACGGGACAGAGATATTTCTTACTTATTTTTGCTATTTAATTTAAAATTTAAATGTAATGCCCACTGCCATCTTCTGTCTTCTAGAATACTTTTCTTTTATTGTCTTTTCACCTCACTAAAGTTTTCTCATATTCTTTCACTCTCAGTAACCCCTTACATCTTAGTGGCATTATCACCTTGCTCGGGGTGAAATGATTAAAAAAAAAAAAAGATTGGTTTGGTGATGCCAGACTAATTCATAAATATCTATATTTGATACACTTTTCTTCTGATGAGCAAAGAATTAAATATATTTTAAATCTAAGTACTGTTGAAATAGTGGCTCAGGTGGAGGAATCGGAGAACCGAGTTTGAATTCCAGTTGAATCCATTACATTCACTCAAGCGCTAATACCCTTGGGAAAGGTATGAATCCTCTTCTTCTCCCCCCAGCTATGGGTAAATAGCAGGACAGACAGGGTTCTGTAGCATTGGATGGTAACTGATCTACTGCAGAAAGGAATGTCAGTCACTTATTGAAAGATGCGTGTATCACGCATGGTACACAACTGACTGACTGCCCTTATTTATACCATTTTACTGTTCAAAATAAAACATGCTTCATGAAAATCAACCAATAACTAATAAAGTTATTAACAATTTTAAATAGGGAGTTTCTTTTGCCCCACGCTGAATTTTAGTCACTTTACTTATTAATAATCTCGCCCGAATCCATCTTACATATTTATAAATTTACCATTTTTCCATGGATTAAATATTGTTACCACATGAGGTGTGTTGCTTCTGCTATGTATTTAGAGATTCTTGATAAAATACAAAGAAGAATCTGCAAT